TCTCGCGGCGGGTTTTCGCTTCGATCTGCGAATTTTAATTCCGGGGCCTCGATCCGCTATCTTTGAGACCTCTTCAGAGCTTGAATTAAAAACCGCCCGTTTCGCCTTTCGCGCTGTCTGTCGCCGTCGTCGTCGTCGTGGCCGTGTTGAGCTGAAACCGCGTAACCGCGACGGGTTCCTCCGGGTGGATACGCTGTTTTTGCCGTGGGGGACGGCGGAAGGGATAGCGGGGCCCGATCCCGAATGAGTGCTCATTACCCACCCCGACAACTTGGAGTTACGGCCTCACGGCTGCATCTGAAAGGGACGCCGACGCCCGGTGCAGTCGGGAATTCAGCCGCTCGCTTTGAGCTCTCTCGCACCGTTCGCCTCGCCCGTGTTCCCTTCCCAGGTCCCTTTATTGAAATATCAACATTTTATTGGCGTATTGAAGCACGGAATTTTCGGATGTGGACCGCCCGTAAAAGGGAAAAAACGGATCTAGGGATATGTCCCAGAATGGCATCACATAAATTTTGGGGGAAGTGTAGGACCACAGTGCGGGCTGATCATTGAAATTGATCGACAAAGTTATAGACAAAGAGGACAATAAGCCTATGGCGGGATCCTATTGGTGGAAGCGGGTGGTTGCAATGGACAGAGGATGTAGGTAATTGACTAACTAACGGCAACCCACGAGAGACCCGATAGTTAGTCCATCATTTACCCTCTTAGTCTATAAGAACCACCCATTCCACCAAAAGGATCCCTCTTTATCCTTTTTGTCTTCTTTGTCTATTGCTTTATCTATAAATTTCAATAATCAGCCCGCAGGAAATAATCCTGGTGGAGTTGCAGGCTGATTATTTGAATTAAGAGACGAAACGATAGACTAAGAGAGCGTAGGCATAATAGAGCGATCCTCTCGATAGAAAAGGGCGGTTGTAATTGATTAAGGAGATAAATAATAGACTAACCAACGGCAACCCCTGAGAGATGCTACGCTGTGGTTTGTCTACCCGTTATCCATTGCTACCACCCACTTCAACCAACAGGGTTGCTCACTTTACCTTATGCCTTCTTTGTCTATCAATTTTCATAATCGGCTCGCTTATACATACATTGGCGTGCTTACCCCAAATTCTGGTAATGCCATTTGACCTAACTCTCTGGGCATGAGCATTAAACCGTTTTTTCTTAGAATAAAGAATAAAGTATGATAATTTCAACTGTGCTCCTGACTGATTTTGGCGCCAGCCAGAATTGTAATTGCACCAGCCAGGGGTATAGTTCAATTGGTCATAAATGTGGTTGATTAACCAATTAACCATACTTTAGGCTGGTATGACCACACTACTGATTGAAGTCAATAGATGAAACTATCTTCCATTTTCACCCATGATGATTGAGAGCAGAGACGTGCGACGTACGATGTGCGATTTTCCGTGGGGCACACAGGGGTCAACAGTTTTTCACGAGAGGGTGTGCGCGGGGGTAAAAATAGTTCAAATATTTCGGATCAAGAATTTTTGCGAGATTTACGAGTACGTATTGAGCATTTTGAAGCAAAATAAATGAAAGAAAGGAAAAAAAAACTCTGAAATAGTTGGATTAACCTAAGAATTAACCTAACTATGTTTCTTAGTTTTCGTCTGATGTTTAATTTTTATTTTTTTTCTCTATCCGGAAAATCTTAAGAAGATAACACCTTGAGTCTGCCTGTAAATTTTCCTTGGTTATGAAAAAATTTGAGCTGACTTTAAAAGGCAGATCATCATTTAGTTTTCTTGCGAAGAAAAATAAAAACGCGTTGAGAAAATAGGCAACACATAATGAAGTTGCGTTGCTTTCGTTAGTGGCTTTCGTTAAAGTACATCGAAACTTTTTCCCCGATGTTTGGATGAGACGTTAGGAGATTTTCAGGAAATACATATTTTCTTGAATAATACGTGTACATCTTTCCCTTCAAATTTTTCAAAAAGTTTTTTTACGCAATTTATTCTTGGCCATGCGAAAATTTCCAGATAGTACATACATGACCTTCCCCGCTTTAAAAACAATCCTAAAAAACGAACGATTTCAGAAAATCGGGCAGCATGCAACAGCTCACACGGTGTTTTTCCTGAGCAGAGCACGGCAGTATATCGCGGCACTATCGCGAACAGGAGCTTCGGGAAAATCCCGCATAGCGTGGGAGGGATGGACCAGAGAGGCTGGGTGCAGAACGGGGGTAGAGTAAACTGTACTCGGGGGGCGGGAGGGGGGCGTTTATAATAAATACATGAAATTCATTTATATGGAAATGGGGATACGTGGTATAATATAGGCGCTGGGTAATACTTAGAGGCTGGATGCTCTGCTCGGCGTCACGCCGCAGTTCTATGCAACAACCGCTTAACTCTCATGATATCACAATATGGATACGTTGTTCTTGACAGTCATGGCAGCGTATCCCATTTGAATCGCGACGTACGCGAATCCGGAATTCGATGAGCTCTGGGTTTTGCTATCGGTAATGCATGGCCGGGCTCGTGAGTTTTCGGACTTGGGTCTTTTTTCACAAGTCTTGATTCATTTTTGCTCTTCGCTACAGGAGTCAATGTCTTTGCTTCGCGCCTCGAGGAGCGAGACGCTCAAATTGTCGTTACTGGTTCGCATCCTGCGATACTGAGGAAAAACGTCGCATCGACATTTAGACATTGCCGAACTTCCTTGTAAATAAAATAAAAAACACGGTATTTTAACGTGTTAAATGTTTATAATACTGAAAAGTCATTTTTATAAATATTCAGAAAAATAGAAAATAAAACCCAAGTGTTTCATAGCCTACAGATGTTGCTGTCGATAAATGGTACCAACTTTTGCTACTAAAATAATTTAAACATTTGATAAAATATCAATTTTTCAGAAAAGTCACGAGGATTTTTTTCAAAGTTTGAAGAGCGCTGTAAATAAATACAGTTTGAAATCTCTGAAAAATTAATGGAAAAATTTACATGTATTCCAGAAAATTCTTATTTTATCAGGGGAAGTTTGGCAGCACTCGGGTGACCATAGACGTTCTTCTTTAGCACGGCAATTCTGCTGAGAAAAAACATAGCGTAAAAATTTAGATATCGCCAAATTTCTTTGGATGAAATACGAATTTTCTTGAAATTTTGCGGATTATTCCTTCGAATTCTTCGGGTAGTTTCAATTGCATTCTCATTCTGGAAATATAAATATTCAAGGAAAAAATATTTGTGACTCACTATTAGATGTGACCGCAGAAGTTTTCGCCGTCGCGTCGCAACCCGAAATATGTGACATAAAACTGGTTTCCAGTTAGACTTTTTTGCATTAAAACAGATTAAATTTTTTAAATTTTGAGTTGAGGGAGCTTTTCTGCGCAGACTGTCAAGTAGGTAATTAAAACGTTAAAACAAATTTCACTCACTTGCAGAGTAATTAAGTATTATTGGGCAGACGCGCGTTTCTAGCGGGCGGCTCATCGTCATGCGACTCATACTCATATTGAATTTAGCGAAACAGATGTGCCTATCTATAAGAGCGATAAAATTTCAGAGGTGGTTTTCTTATTTACTTGGGCCTTGAGTGGTTTCCGCTGATGCATCTAGATCCTTGTTTCAGCAGATTTAGCTTTAGCTTCCCTTCCAACTCGTCATATTCTAATTTTGTAGATGCGTCCCTACTTGACGTATGTTACCAATGCTAAATTATGTCATACGAATCTTTTTTCAAAAATAACAGCTCCATGAACTCCTGGGAAACTGACTCATACCGGAATACATCTCTACTCAGTCCATACTCAGAACTGTTTGTGATGGTACGTATTCGAATGAAAACTAGACCTGTAAAACAGATGCGATTGGACAATGGGGAACCACTTTTTCTGGCTCATCCATAAGAACACCTTTTTGCAGAGTGAAACCAATGGCACATATGTTGTTTCCGAAATGAGTAAAAACCAGTGGCACTTCATTGCAAAATGTTGTTCGAACGAGCATCACCAGTGCTGGTGGTGGTTTCGTCATGCTTTAGGATCCTTTCTTTTGCATCCCTTCACGGTGTAATTTATTTACTTATTTATTTCTTCATTTTAAATTCGTAAAATGAAGCCCCAGTCTAGTTCAGATCTTTTCAGTCGAACTATTATGTTTTTGATGTCTTTATGTTTGCTGTTGTGGTTTTGAGACGTGCCCAAACGGCATTCCTGTGCCCAGCCAGATTGTAGGAGTAGGTGCCATTATCGTGCAAGTAGGCCAGCGTGCACTCCGGGCGTTCGTTGATAGCCAATCCGACTAGGATGCCAGTGCTCAGCTTCCTCTGCCGGAATATTTCATACCTCTTGCAGTCCACAAGCTGTTTAAGCGCATCATAAGCCGTCCCATTTCCGCACTCGACACCTACCAGAATTCCTGTTGAATCGTACCTGTTTGATTTCATAAAACAGAAGGACAAAATAGTATCAATATATTTTCCTCCTTAGGAACGAGCATAATAAAATGAACATTGCAGCATCAAATCTCGGCAAACTTATTAATCTTAATTTATCTTGAAAGTAAAAAATAAGAGACATTTAAAGTGTAAACGCGATACAACTATTCGCGCGAGATGGATGTCCACATTGCATATGAAAAATGTAAGTGCGTCGTGAACTTGCAATGCTCTGCTCTATGCTACTAGTTTGAAGCACCATTACAAATAAATTTGTAAGATCTCTTGTCAACCTCTGGTCACCAAACCAGTTGTCAGACTCTGACTAGCAGTCAAGCTGCTGATCAGCCTAACTACTGGTTTGCGAGAGAGAACAAAGGCTGGCCGGGCCGGGACTTGACCTGAAGAAAACCAGGAGTCATACACACCTACCTCTGGTCAAGCTCTGGTCAGCTCAAACAATCACTTTGACTAGCACCTAATCAGAGGTCTTACAATCGGCCCTTAAGATAAACGCAAACAAACACAATGGAAATAAAGCGAGGAAAAGGATGTGCGTTAACGACGGCGCAGAGATACAACTATTTGAACTTGATGGATGTCCGTGCTGCATCTGAAAAATTGAAGGCGCGGTGACGGGAAGCGTGAGCTCTCAATGTTCTGCTATATGGTGTCAATGAGGTGTCGCTCAGATTCGGGAGAAAAGTTAAAAAAGAGGCCCGAACATATCTCTCCCACCTTCGGCTGTGCTCTCGCGTAGTGCTTGAAGCACCATTACGAATCAGACAAACGGAAACATACTCAATATGGAAATAGAGGGTGGGGAAGGATGCGCGTTTACGACGGCGCAGAGATACAACTATTTTTACTTGATGGACGTCCATGCTGCATCCGAATAATTGAAGGCGCGATGACGCGATTTTACATTCTATCAAACGGATCTAAGTGCACACTTCATGAGCCTTAGGGCATGTATCAAGAGCGTTGTGCACAGGGCTCATGAGTTAAAGACAACGAATAGCGACTGGAGCGGCGGCTATGTCACTGCCGCTTTATCATTTTCATTAATTCTTATGGCCCAAGCACTAACGAGCACACCCCATATTTCCCATTTGCACATAGTTCTGTTTGATAGAAATACGTCCAAATAACTTCCTAACTTTTGATTAAAGTCTACCACTTGTCCAGGTCCACCCATAATTATGGAACTACCCACCTCTGCACGAAAAAGTCCCGCCTCTTTCTATCGATGGCCTCCTCACTAAAGACCTGCGGGAACTTCGTATCGGCTGCGAGATAGACCAATGCGTGCAAGAGCTCTCGGGAACTAGCAGGCAGTTGGAATTCAAAAAGCTGCAAAACCGCGCCGGCTAGATCCTCGTACGTCTGTCCCCGATTTCCCAGCCTGTCTAAAGTCTCGATATAGTCGTTAACTTGCAGGTCCTGGATCCGGAACTTGGATTTGAAATAATCGCATGTTAGCAAAAGTGCCTTTAGGTCCGCATCGGCCTCCAGGTTCGGGACGGTTAACCGGTCGCCATCAAGCGAGAACAACCCGATTTCAACTAGATATTGGAGCGCGAGATCCCGATTGAGCTTGTGGTTCGGATCAGAGATCATTGCCCGAAGTTCTTTCAGATCACGCTGAATCAGTTTCACGCGGGAGATTCTGGTTTGTTCGTCGAAGGCTTCCTCTAGGGTCTTGCCGAGTCTCTCGTAGGGGAGGAGGTTTGAAAGGTTGCTCCGTAGCTCTTCCGCGTGGATTCGATGTCGCTTTAACTGGTGTGTTTTGAGATACATTGTCGTCGAGAAAGTGTTGTGGAGTTTTTGTTCCGGGAGGATGGTCTTGTAGCCGCCGTACCAAGCATTCACGTCTGTGTAGTTCAGTTCCCATTTGGTCTCGCGGAATAATTGGTCTCCCAATGTATTAATGTCCTTCTTGGTTAAGCCGTAATACCTGAAAATTTGAAGAGTCGCGTTAAGGAGCCGTATTTGCTGTCGTTCCTCAATTGGACTGCATTTTGCAATTTGGAACTATAAATTCTGGCTCTTCTGGAAAAACACTTATGTGCATATGGAAACTAATGGCACATACGTTGTTTTTAAACCGGGCTAGAATCTATAGGTCCAAATTGCAAAATGAGGTCCAATTAGTCCTTTTTCTCGGGGAGGATTCATAAAAAGATTGAGAAAATTTACGGAGGCAATTCAGCGTCCTGAAACGGACATTTTTTACGAACTTTGGAAAAGGAAATTCAAATGTAAAGCTTCGGAAGTGGTTCCGGGTGAGAAAGTACAATATTCATCATAGAAAAAATTGAAATACCCACAAAAGGTATATTTTTTCAGGTTTTGCGCAAAGGTAAGAATGGTTCGTTATTCTCGACCACTAGCATGTAGACCTCAGGTTTTTTCGACATTCTTTTTTTGAAATTTTGTCGTGTTTTTTTTTTTTTACAGCTGAAAATGGCTCTTCTGAGTTGAAACTCGGCTTTTGTTATGTATTTTTAGTCCTTCTTTTCATAGGTATTACCATTGTCACAGGCTGCTGTGTAAAAATTGTGTATCCGTTTAAGTCCAATAAACGTACCTTAAAGCTTTAAAAAAAAAATCTAGAATTTTTACATTTGTATTAAGAATTGTTTGCATCGGTGCAAGATTGTATAACTCCTTACCAGAATCTACTTAATTCCGAAGTCATATTGTTGAATTTTTCTTGAGGTGCATAAAAATTGGACGTATTTATGCGAAAAGGAGATATGTGGAAGTGGAAAGATGGGGTGTGCTCGTTAGTGGTCGGGCCATAAGAATGAATGGGGAATATTGTGCGCCAGTGACGTCAGCGGCAGTGAGTGCGCACTCTAACGGCGGGGAGATGGTCGTCGGGGCGCTGTAACTCGTGAGCCCTGTCCACAACGCTCTCTTGCCATGCCCGCGGCTCATGAGTTAGCATATTTTGCCGCTTAGCTCCTTTTGATTTAATAGAAAATCCCGCTTTTCAATTTTCTCAAAAGGAGCTATATCCACTGACCACATTGTTTCTTATGACCCAACTAACGAGCACACCCCATCTTTCCACTTCCACATATCTCCTTTTAGCATAAATACGTCCAATTATTCTTTTTATGATGCTCGTTACAGCCCTCTTTATAAGTCTGTTCTTTAATTACAAATTTAAACCACACGGAGTCTCTCCGAAGAAAATAGCTGATTGAAGTAGGTACGGGATAAATACGAGAATAAGATATCTAACATCCGAGACTCTAGTGAAATCGTTTTGTGAGTGAGAGAGTCTTTGAAGTATTTAGAGTCTGTGCTCTCAAAAATTTTTTGGAAAAATGCATTGAACCGCATTGAATGCGAATTTCTCGCATAAATTTTTGTTTGAATTTTCCACTAAACTTCGCCAATATTTTTGCTCTCTTCAATTACCTCCAAAGTTGCTCATGGTCGAAGATGGATAGATGAACGAGATTATCTGGTTCTCCCTTGTGACTGGCAATTACCCGCATCCTTCCCGTCAATACGGATCTGAAAAATAGATTCAAATTAGATTAAGTTATATTGATTCAATGCTCAGAAATGGAGACAGAATCTAGAGAAGAATCACTCCGTATGTATCATCGAGGCCTTTTCTTCATAAAAATTGGCACATCGGTTCAATCAAAATGTAGGTGAAGTAATTTGCGCATGATGTGCGACGCTTTCAAACTACTGTTTGAATGAAATGTCAGGTTGCAAAATTAGTCGAATTCGTAATTCCAAACCTCTCTAGGATTTCTTTAGGAGTTTTTCTTATCTTTTAAGGCTCAAGGTTGCGTTGCCTCGGTCTTTACCTCGAGCAAAATTAGAAGTTCAAGCAAACCTTGAGATTGACTGACAGATTTTTACCCTCTTGTGGAAGAAAACAAAGTACCTAGAGCCAATCAACCATGTTGAGAAAGCGTTCTAAAGACGGAATTTTTCCGTAAAATTAAACTGGGGTTTCATGTGTTGGTATGGTATCACTACGAAATGAAGGCAAATCTTATACATATGACTCGTAGGTTACAGAGCCAGTTAATTCCAATTGGTACTATAAACCCGGATTTATCAAAACTGTCAGATCAAAGAGACAAGAAACACTCTGAAATCTGGGGATAGCACTGGAAAGTATTACTTAACGCTCTGCTCAATGTATTCAACCCCTTTACAAATCTTCGTGGCACTAACAATACCGCCAACCGCCCGCAACTAGAATATACCTAAACAAGGAAAATTTGGACACTGGAAATTATGTTTGGCTCAGCCATCTGAAGCTTCTCTGGGCTGTCTGCGATGTAACAAAATGGCGAAAATTGTATACAGATTGTTCAAAACGACTTTACTGAAATTACCGCCGAGTCAGGCTCGACCAATGAGCTTTAAAACCTATTTTTATTTTGTGCATTAGGTATAGGTATCCGGAAAAATTATTTTCAACCTAGATCCCTTCTATGATAAGGTTCACAGCAAAAGATGACCGTCAAAGATTAGCGACAACCCCTCTCTTCCAGAGTCGCCACCATTTTTCTGGACTAAGTTCCTGTGCCCTCCTTATACGAGTATGGACAGATCGCTTCATGAAGGGCTTAGGGCCCAAAAGTGCAGCCATTCTTCTAACCAACCTCTAACACACAAAACACTGCCAATCTGCTGAGTCTGCAGATTCCAATTCTAACCAGAGGGCCAAGAATGTACATAAATGAGCGTTATTTCACAAAAAGGAGTAAATTTATGCAAAAACTGAGTCAAATACGTGCTTTATGAACGACGGTTCCCAACTATTGTATTAGTGAATCGCTCTGGATAATTGAAATTCATAGGTTGGCTGCAATTCTGGGCCCTAACTTTATTCGCGGAGGCATCGGTGAAAGCCTGATGGATTTTCGGAGTTTCACATCTGTCTATACTTTCGCTATATAGGTACTCTTATGCCGCAATCACACGCTGAATGTGGGAGCTGAATGTGACTTGAATGTGGAAGTCATCGGCCCGATGCCTGCAACGATTCTCAGCAACAATTGGACTAATGTTGGATTTGTCTGAACTATTCGAGTGGATTTGATACACATCTGGATGAAAATAACTCGAATTTGCTAGATTTCAGCCGTTGGGCGATGACTGTTGACTTCCACATTCAGCTGCTAAATTCAGCGTGTTATTGCGGCATAATACTATTCAGGGACAGCCCCAAAAGGAGAAAAATTGAAAGCGGAACCTGGCGACGTTGGAGTTACCCTGGACAAGCCGGGCAATAAAGAGCACGACGTTCTCGTAGACGTGATCGAAGTTCTTCATGTCGAGGGCGGACGCCTGAGCTAGGAGGGCTTCGCGCAAAGGAGCATCATAGTTGTCGATGAGGACGATGATGTTCTTCTGGTGGTGCCCCCGTAAGAGCACCGACAGTTTTTCGCCTCCAAGCACCACCTCACTCAAGCTCAATTCTGGACACTTGTCTCGGTACAGCTCAAAGTCGTCCTTCAACGTCCCCGACAGCCTCGGACTTCGCTCCAAGTAGTCGTGTCTGAGAAATCGTAAAACGTTGAACGGTCAGCCAGTTGAGGTGGAATCTACCTTTTTGTTCGATATTGATCAATGTGTCTGTCGCAGGCTAATGGTCAAATCAGGAAAATGTCAAGTGCCGCACTGAAAAAAAAAAAAAAACTCTGGCCGTGGAAGCCGTACTTACGGGCTATATAGACATACCGTCCGCGTTACGGGCTCCAAGACCGGATGCAGCACTTGGAGCAGTCGATATGGCTCCAGCATCCGAAATGTTCGACCTCTGAGCCCGGGACGGACGGTATGTTTATGAATCTCGTGACTTTTTTTCAGTGCGGAGTAAGTATAAATAATTGGACTACATTTTGCAATTTGGAACTATAAAGTCTAGCCTGGTTTAAAAACAACGTATGTGCCATTGGTTTCCCTATGCTCATAAGTGTTTTTCCAGAAGAGCCAGAATTTATAGTTCCAAATTGCAAAATGCAATCCAATTGTATCCTGAATTGAATTTCTGAGTTTTTTCCTTTCATCTGTTATTCTTTGAAAACCACTTTAAGGATACTTACGAAACATGGTGATATATTTTATCTTGTTCAAAGAATTACTTTGCTCATTTTTTCTTTCTCTCTCTCTCTCCCTCTCTCCCTCCCTCCCTCTGATGAACCTAGGATCTTAAACATTGTGACTATTTTACAATCGATAAAACAGGCAAAGCAATCATCACAGAATAACCCAATTAATATTACCTCTCAGTTTCTTAGGTCTTACTTTGTTAAAGACCGTCGTTTGCATGACGATCCTAGCACAAATTTTGGATTTACAATCAGTTAGACGTAGGTAATCGAGAAAAAAAAATTGGAAAATTTTTCTCTTACGAACCTCAAAAATAATTCAGTCACCATACGACGAAACGACTCATCAAAATGGGTAATGGAAACAGATCCCATGTTCACATAAATGACTGGAGATTGAGCGAAATAATCTCTGAAAATTTGAGGATATTTTGCTATTATTTCCAACGGTGGTGTCGCAAAGGTGGCAAAATTTGTCGTACTGTTCACATCTTCAACTGCCTTGCCATCAATGTCAACCTGGATATTGAAAATACCTATAAATATATTACTCTTGAATAATTGATTAGAATCGATGTACACAAATTGGCGTTTTCCACAGGTAAAAACGCCAAGAAGCAGCGCTTCACCAAAAAATTTGAAGTAAATTAGGTATTATTTGTATGTGATTTGCCTCATATCAATCACAGACTTAAATGGAAAAATAGACCTTGCATTAAAATTTTAAGGTGTAATATTGTCATGTGGGTAATTTACTGCGTGATAAGGTTTTTAAATCAAACATGAAACACATTTTTGAACAGATAACACAAAATTTTGACACGAAGGATATTTTCTGATCTACTTTGAACATATTGAAGGCGAAATAGTAATATGCGTAATCTCTGCACGCTTTTTGTGCCAACGTCACCTTTCACCTGAAATTTTCAGTAAAGGATGGTCACTGAATACTTACATGAGAAATTAAGTTGTTCCACTTCGGAGAACAAAAAATGTGACTTTAGGAATAGATTTGATGAACTTAACAAGTCGCACATTTTTTCCTGCCGAAAATTACGAGTCGAGAAAAAACTTGAAATGAGTACTAGCTGATTTTGAACATTGAATCTCCGACTGGAGGAATACATTTTTAAACATTTTTCCGCGGTTTGATCGTAATATGAAGAAATTTCCTGAGGATGGCCTGGCTTAAAATCCCCCAAGAGACTCTAGGCTTCTCCAGAAAAAAATGGTCCAAAGGGTCTCCCCTAAATTTTTCTCTGAAAAAAATTGGCCATTTCAGGATATATTTTAAAGCTACTCTTACACAAAATCTGGCTAAATGGAGGCTTGAAGCCCAAATCAACTACTGGTTGACAAAAAACTTTGTTCTAAATCATTTTGTCTTACTGTGCCTTGCAGCAAGGAGCTCTAGAGAAGTCTCTAGGGTTATTTTCTATATCGTCCGAATTTTCTGGAGGGAGAGGGGCAGATACCATCTCAAAATTTAGAATAACAGGTGATACGATTTCAATATTTTTAGGGGAGAGGGGTAGGCGCGAATCACTGATTTTACAATTTATCTACGAATGACATACCTCCAATTCAAAGAATTCCTTGAGCATGCGGAGATTCGTCGTTTTTCCGAATCCTCCTGGGGCTTCAATGACGATGTGCTCGTGACTAGTTAAAATGTGCTCAATCAGTAAGGATTTATCCACGAACAAAGCCTTGTCTCGCAACTTCACCAAATCACTGAAATGAGGTCCCGCGTCATAAAACTGGGCTCCGATCATCGAGGCCTGTTGATTAGGAAAAAAACTTTTTAAGTAAACACGAAACACGGTCAAAAACCTATAAATGAAATCCGGAGTGCATGTAACATTGGAGCTCTCAAACGACCGCAGTGATGAAAGTGCATAGTGTTATCCACTACTTTGCGAAATGAACGAAATTAGTCATTTTTGCGGCGTTACACCTCCATTCTACACGGAAAAAACGATGTAGTGCTGAACACCAACTGTTAAGATCAAATGGAGACAGCTGATATGACAGCGGGCCGATTATTGAAACTGATGGATAAGGCTATAGACAAAGACGACAAAAGGGATTTGGAGGGATCTTACTGGTGGAAGTGGGTGGTGGCAAGAGACATAGGAGGTAGGTAATAGACTAACTAACATCAACCCACCAAAGACCCGACAGTTAGTCCATCATTTCCTCCCCTAATCTATAAGAACCACTCATTTCAACCAGTAGGATGGCTCCAGACTCCCTATGTCTTCTTTGTCTATCGCTTTGTCTCTCAATTCCAATAATCAGCCCGCAGTACTGCTGAGACCTACAGTCTGCAGGGCTGGACCCTAAAGTTTTAGGGCTCAGCGCTACTGTCATACTAGCTGACTCCATTTGATCTAAACAGTTAGTGGTCAGGGCCGAATTTTCCTACTTGCCGCCCATGGGCCGCCTGTATTTTTCCGCCCTCTTCTCATTCGTTTTGAAACATCAATAAAAACCATCAAGTGAACGTGCCAGCGGGAGAGAGGTGCATAAGACGCGTTTACTCGTGTTGAACACATTTTTTGGGAAAGCCCTGTAAACACTACTAGCAAAAGGTCACGGAACTTTGAGCGAAAGTCAAGTTTCGTAAACCTATCTCTAATGGACAAGGCGTTCCATTCATAAGAAATGAACGAAAAAATTATGAAAGAACAAACACAAAATTTGGTTAAATGATTTTAACTTCCGCCGACGCGCCGACCGCACCGTGTTTGGCGCAATGCGTGAAGTATTCACGCAGTCTTGTAGGCGTTATACGTTTCTTGCTGACCGCACTGTGTTTGGCGCAACGCGTGAAGTATTCATGCATTCTTGTAGGCACTATCCGTTTCACGCTGACCACAATAACCGCTTTGTGTATAATGCAATGCTTGAAGTTTTCGTGCAGTCTTGTAGGCGCTAATATGTGTTACATGCCGATTGCCGCGCCGAGGGCTTCTCCTTTTCATCTCAAGTCCTCGTCATCATTTCTCCCTAAGTCGCGCAATAATATTGCAATACATAGTCAAACTGTCTAGAATTTTCATTTAATTTGTCTTTTTATTTTCTTTTTAGTTCTATGTCTATACATAGTGAGTGACAGGGAAGAGGGGAGGGTTCAGAAGTTTAGAATCAAAACTCTCTGATATTATGTTGTACATGTACAGTCCATGATTTGATGATTTGGCGAAAATGTTCGTTTTAAAACTAGGATTACAATCAAACTGCGCTCACAGCGGCCGTCTTGGCACCGAGGATGAAAAACAACGAAAGCAAAACCAGCCGGAGGTTCAAGTTCAACGTAACTTTGGTCATCATGAGGATGGATGGCGGAACTTTTGATTCACTCAAGTCACCACGATCGAAAGGAAAGAAAACGAAATTCTCGTGCAATAAATGTACGGTGAACCCACGATTATTACTTACATAACTCGGGAAGAATTGAGGGGGAGGAGCTGGATTTTTGATTGAACGCCAAGTGGGTGAGCTCTATGAGTTATGACTGATGTAATGCCTTGATAGGGAGTTCCGCTCCATGAGATTCCTCTTTTCCTTTTTCTCCCTCCGTTTTGAACGCAACAAAAGCGGCGAGACCATGCCGCACTCTCTATTTTGGACTGCTTTAAAAATGCCCTCGAAACAGAATTTTACGAGCTTAAACTCTTAAAAACTTACTTCTTTTGCAAAAAAAATATGCTCACATATAGGTACTTATACAACAGTTTTCGGTGTAAAGATGAAACCGCGTTTTCTGGTGGTTTTTTTAGGCCCCGCGGTTAGCTCTGTGTTTTTGGGGTGTTGAAACAGCAAGTGGGTAAGCTAAGATTCAATATTTGGTGAATTCGATAGCTTCAAAAATGTGTCTGCAAATGCCCTCGAAATAGAATTTTACGAGCTCAATCTCTTATAAACATACTTCTTTTGCGAAAAAAATATATGCTCACATATAAGTACTTACAACACTTTTCGGTGTAAAGATAAACCGCGTTTTCTGATGGTTTTTTTAATCCCAGCGGTTAGCTCTGTGTTTTTGGGGTGTTCAAACAGTAAGTTGGTAAGCTCAGATTTATATTAGGTAAATTCTATAGCCTCAAAAATATGTCTGCAATCAGCCTGTTGATTTGACTCCAAGACATTTTTCAGACTTTTTAGAAAAGGGCACCTAGGTAGTTAGTCTTCTCGGAGATGAATCAAGTGACACACTAGTGATTTTATTAAATTTGGATTATCAAGATTTCTGTTTTTAATAGGTATCTTAGGTAATTTTTTTTATAATTTATTAAAATTTTAAGTTAAGTCAAACTAATAATTTTTAAAATTATAATTCCTTCCTGTACCCCATTTTCAATTAATTTTTAACAACGGAGGATTAAACAACGAGTTGCAAGATTTACGATTCTTATTTTCGATAGTTTTCCCTTTTTTTCATGGCAAAATACTGTGATTCACTTATGTAGCTTTGCTTCAAACAATGTATCATTAAATCTACTTCCTTCTTTCATTTCCTCCCGATAAATTTTCTGGCAATAAGTAATAGTCCAGGCGCCTGGTAGCTAAAAATGAGGCTACCTGGAATTTTGGGTACACAGCGATTTTTTTGGCTTACTTTATGTTTTTTGGGTCGCTGAATCCGAATCTGAAGTTTCCGCAGGCGTATCTGGTGAGCATTTTCCGCTATTTTGAAAAAATGGCCTAAAAAGGCCTTTTTTTGCGGTTTTTTTGATATAGCGGCTACGGATGAGGAAAAGTCCCGGATTTAGCTAATGTTTTGAATAGCTGACAAAATTTGGAAGAAAATGGTATATAAATATGCTAGGTTTGCTCAAAAATTGAGGAACCTCGGATTTCGGAACTTTAGAACGCTTCGGAACTTGGCTGACCGCGGCGAGCCGGATCGCGCGTTGACGGGTGCGCCGCGAAAACGTGAATAGGCGCGATGTTCACGATGCTGTATCTTCCTCAATTTTTAAGCAAACCTAACATATGTATATACCATTTTCTTCCAAATTATGTCAGCTATTCAAAACATTAGCTAAATCCGGGACTTTTGCTCATCCGTAGCCGCTATATCAAAAAAACCGCAAAAAAAGGCCTTTTTAGGCCATTTTTTCAAAATAGCGGAAAATGCTCACCAGATACGCCTGCGGAAACTTCAGATTCGGATTCAGCGACCCAAAAAACATAAAGTAGGCCAAAAAAATCGCTGTGTACCCAAAATTCCAGGTAGACTTACCAGGCGCCTGGACTATAACGAAAATATCAATTAAGCAGGAAAGCACTAGCTGATACCTACCTAACCAAAACTGGCATTATGAGTTAGCAAACGAGGCCAAGGTGCTACAAGCAACTATTCGAGCTTTCAAGCCGCTCACTTTGCCTAATTAAAATATTGAAGGCGAACTGGTCGGGAATAGTGCGGAACATGTGGTAAGTAGATTCTTGCAAGATAAATAGGTATGCGAATTTTTATACGCAGATACCCTAATCGGTCTTATAGTTCGTGGAAAACATAAAAATCAACTTATCTGAATGCAAGTACTCAGGGCCGGATTTACCTACTTACCGCCATGGGCCGCCTGTATTTTGCCGCCCCCTTCTCATTCGTATTGAAACATAAATAAAAACCATCAAGTGAACGTGCCAGCGGGGGAGGGGTGCATAAGACGCGCGTGTTGAACACATTTTTTGGGGATGCCCTGTCAACACTACTAGCAAAAGTTAAGTTTTGTAAACATATCTCTGTGCGGACAAGGCGTTCCATTCATAAGAAATGAACGAAAAAATTATGAAAGAACAAACATGAATGTGGTTTAATGATTTTAACTTCCGCCGCCGCGCCGCGCCGCGCAGACCGCACCGTGTTTGGCGCAATGCGTGAAGTATTCACGCAGTCTTGTAGGCGCAATGCGTTTCACGCTGACCGCACTGTGTTTGGCGCAATGCGTGAGGTATTCATGCATTCTTGTAGGCGCTATCCGTTTCACGCTGACCGCAATGACCGCACTGTGCTTGATGTAATGCGTGAAATATTCGTGCAGTCGTGTAGGCGCTGATATGTGTTACATGCCGATCGCCGCGCCGATGGCTTCTCCTTTTCATCTCAAGTCCTCGTCATCATTGCTCTCTGCGCTGCGCCGTTCCAGGCCAAATTGTGTGTTTGGTTTCTCTCTTAACTCGACTTATTAAAGGTGCTGTCTCTTGTAGGTATCACTGAAAGACAACAAAATTAAAAATTGCTACACTCTCAGGAAATGAGAGATTTTGTCGCCTTTTCTCGTTTGTAATTTTTTTTTCCTAAATCCGATATTCATTTTTACCTACATTTAAAAAAATTGCAAAATTTGCCGCCATAGGCCGCGGCCCATGTGACCACCCCCTTAATCCGGCCTTGCAGTACTACTTCTACGGTGATTAATACGTGACTGCTCTTAAAACCGAATGAAAGTGGCCAAACTGCGAAAATCAATTCGACGGTATAAAAGTCCGCAGCCACAAAATTTGGGGGCCATCTGAAAACGTAGAACTCAAACTCTTGCCGCCGCGCAGCATTACCTATTGATACAACGCGTGTTCTTCCGGGGAGAATCGTTGACGCTTTTAGAAGAGAAAATGACGTCGCGGAATCAGGCCGATCAAACTACTAATAACGACATCATTCGACTTTGAAACTCCCCGAACGCGTGTCTCGTTTGCGACGTTTAAAAATGTCCACTCCTATTTTATTCCTCTGAAGGAGAATATAGATCAAATTCCTTGTTTTTCAGAATTTGCCTCGCACACAGAGGATAAAATCGTGTTTTTAAGTTTTTCAAGTTTTCGCGGTTTTCAAGTAAACGCAATATGGGAAAAATAGAGAGAGGATGAGGACGCGCGTTGAGGACGGCGCAGAGATACAACTATTCGTGCTTGATGGATGTCCGTGTTGCGTCTGCAAATTGAAGGCGCGATGGCATGAGACGCGAACTTGCAATGCTCCGCTCTGTGCAGCCAAAGAAGTGTCACTCCGTTGCTCACATTTGCGAGAAAATCTAAAAAACAAGGACTGAATACGACTCGCGTGTCTTTGACTCTATTGACAATCGATTTTTTTTCTTTTCTTTAATTAAATGTCTGTTTCTTCTTTTAGGATGTATTTGTAGATCTATATCGACGGTGTAAGTCGGCAATCACATAACTCGGTTTGCGACGTCGCAGACTTCCTGTCATACTTTATTTTTTAAACGGAAAACTACTCAACAGCAATTCCTCAAAACTGCCGTGATTTTTCTTCTTTGACCGAAGAAAATTCTGCAAAAACTTCGAGGAATGATGTCAATTTGTTCTCCTTTTAAAAAATTAACATACAGGCGGAGATTCTCAGACACCGCAAACGAGTTATGTGATATCCAACTTACACCGTCGATATATTCATTTAAACAAGGTGGAGAAACGGTGCTGGGTTCACACCATTCACTAATCATCTCCTCTCTACCTTCAAAGATGAGGAATTTAGAAAGGTTATTCGCTTTCTTGAAAAATTAGGTTTTTTGGGATAGGTCCCGACGTGATTGTGGACTTTCACCGTTGAATCATTATGACCTATCATGCTGCTTGTGTTGCCAAAGCAAGATGAGAATAGAACACAAGGGGGTGGGATTTCCTTTATTTTAGGTCATGGCCAAATTACTGCACCCAATTTTCAATGCTCTGAAGCTCTCCGGGTACAATGACTGATGTTCTAGAAAGAATATATTTATTATTCTGGATCTTTCGTTAGACAATAATGATAATTTTTTTTTAAAAAATCGGTAATTTAATAATAAGTTGACGAATTTTAAGAACTTATGGACTGCCTCCTCTAATTTCATTTTCTTACAGGTTCAAATTTGATGCAAACTGTGGGCTGATTGATGAAATTGGTAGGCAAAGCTATAGACAAAGAATACAAAAGGGATATAGAGAGATCCTTTTGCTGGAAATGGGTGGTTGTAGAGGACATAGGAGGTAGGCAGTAGACTAACTAACGGCAATAACCAGAGTTAGTCCATCATTTACCCCCTGGGTCAACAAAGAACACCGTTTCAACCAATAGGATCACTCCATACTCCCTCAGTCTTCTTTAACTACCGCTTTGTCTATCAATTTCATCCATCAGCCCACTCGACATGTATATTGTATGGCTTCAGACTCGGGGTCCTTTATAGTTTCTCCTTTTTTCATCTCATTTTTTCTCTTACTTACTACTAGCGGTGTCTCACTCTACTGCCTCTGAAAGTTGGCTTTCAAGTATGATGTTTGTTTTGGCTGATTTGTTTTGGGTGGTGTTGGCTGATTTTTCCCTCTTTTTTTTGAGAATTAATGATTGTATCAACTCTAATCTGAGGATAAAAATAGTAATGATAATAAAAATACTGATGAAAATTTTTAAATTTAATGTTTCATTAATTAAGTCTCACGACTTAATTTTTATTTACAATTTTACGTGATTAAAATAAAACAGTTGTACTTAAATGAAATATTGATCACAGATATTGCCTTAAAACTTATTTACTAAGAATTTTATCGTAAGATCCAAACACGGACTTAGAACCGAACTAACAAAAATAAGTTCAATCTGACTTTTTGCATATTAGCCTTGCGCAGTATTTTGAAAATTGACCAATTAATGAAATTAATTACACAATCTACAGGGTTCTCAATTAGAAATTATCATGAATAAAATATTTTTCTGCATCTTACTTCCTGAATTAGACTTTTTTGAATCACTATTACAAATAAATTATGCTACAACCCTTCTTTAAGCGCAACTGCAGAAACTTGGTATACAATCATTTTTTACATTCATGATTGGCAGGAGCTAGTGTAGGGACAGTGTTTACAGATGTTTGAGTGTTTGTTGCATACACTGTGAGGATTTTTGTAATTACAAAAGGTTTTCTTCCTTCTAGAAAATTCACCAGAGACGCAGGGTCGCAGGAAAATGAGCTAATTGAAATCTATGGTCTAATTGCTGCGCCTGTAAGGCACTTAGGCACGTGACAAGACAGGAGGAACAAAACAATGTGCAATTAATGGAACAAATTTAGCCTGAGTGACAATTTTGATCCAGATCAATGATTCTTTTCCTCTCTCTCAGCTTGTTTGTATATGGAAAGGCCAAAGGCTGCTGTCCAATGTCAACCAACAATTGACTAAATGCAGTATGACGCAGTTCTGCCAATATGCGCAGATACTGAAAACCAATACCTTCTTCTGAGGGATATTGCTAAATGTCTACTGCGTGTGACAGCCAGAAGTAAACAGCAACCAACTCATCTAATGATACGCTAGTTCTAGGCTGATTCTAAGTTAATCAGCCTAATTAAACTTACGGTCTCAGAAGACAGATGGAGTCAAAAAATTATAGAAACAGAAATTAAACATGAATTGTTAATTCGTTATCTTGTTAAAATATAACAGATCGCAAGTAAATGAGATCAAACTAAAAATAAACACATTTTTCTCAATGTAGTGATTTTGCTGGTTTTGTAAATTCTGCTCATAATCTGTCGAAGCTGACGTACTAACTCAAGTGATAAATAAGAGAGGCAGAGATCTCTTACAAATAATCAACAAATAGAGCCATTAAATTTTGGTCAACGCTCTCTGAATCTTCTACACTTACACTAGGAGAATATTTGGTGCCGTACTTCAGGAAATACTGGCATGTTTGGTGGGTACTGGGTGAGATTTTTGTGGCGATTTTTGTGAGTAAGCTGGATAGAGTTTTTGACTTGATCAACATCCTTGCTTTCCGGCTGGTGAATCGGAGAGACGAGATGAACATGGATAGATAATGACTGTTTAGAGAGGTGACATTCTCAGCCAAAAATAATAAGAGGTTGAGAACAGATCCTGAATACCGGACTGGCAAGTTGGCACCTGAGAAAAAACCGAAGTCTCAGATTATGCAATGAACATGTTGGATCAATACTTACAGCACAGAATACATAGAGCCAAAAAGATGAGTACCCTTTGCATAAGTGATGTGTTTTAAGGGAAAATATGACTGAACTGGCCTGCCTCATTACCGCGTTAAACGAATTTGGAATTTAAATGATATCGCTATTCAGTTCCATGTTTCCTCCTTATGCCTTGCTTTTTCTTTTAAAATATCGGCTACTTCCATTAGTCATTATTTGTTAATCAATAACATGCCATTATCCATGCAAAATGATACTGTGGACAGATAAACCTTAAAATTCTACAAGCGGTGTTTGTGAAGAAATTATATGCTGTAGATTCATGCAACAAGCGTTTCGCCATTCAGTTCATTCAACAGTTCAAATTAACAGCTCATCTTAACATTCGTTTATTTTAAGAATGAATGAATCCCTGAAAAATTCAAATCTGTTGATTTTCCAAACTTTAGGCAAATGGCAAACACGCCCTTAAATATTAGACCTTAAAAAATTCATCCAAATTCAGGAAAAAGTCTAAAAAAAGGGGGATAGTTCATTTGTTCATCATTCGTGGATCCAAACAACCACCGTCATTTGTTGATCCAGCCATCAATTGTTTCACTGTTTTGTAGATTGACGAAAGATGGACAAATGAACAGTTTCCTTAGACTTCTTCTTGACATTAGGTCAAATTCTTTGGCTAAAATATTTTTAAGAAGGTGCTTGCCATCTGCAAAACGTTTGGAAAAATCAATAGACTTGAATGTCTTGCTAAATCATTTCTCCTTGAAATAAAGTAATCCGAAAACAAACTAATCATTTTTTAAATTATATCATGAAGACAGAAAATAAATTTTAACTGATTTTTTTGAGTCTTATAGACAAAAATTTGTCTTCCTCTCATTTTAAACTAATCTATTTAGTTAAGCTATAGAGATTATATAGTAATTTTTGTATTCTAGGAGTTTAGAAAAGGAGACAGTACACTCAATTTACAGTGATTTTTCTGGATTTTTTTCAACCAAAGAAATACAAGTTCAAGTACAAGTCGCATATTTTGAGCTTCCATTCAAACATGCATGGCTGAGCAAGTCAAAATGGCATCCAAAAACATCTCTCTTGTTGACGCCACGATCTCGATTGAATGATGCCTTTGCCACAATTTACAATCTGCAAAGAGTATTGCTGTAGACTGCACAGACAAAGGATCGTGGCAGAGGCTCGCAATCAAGATCCTGGCAGAGTAGAGAAATATTTTTGGACATTGCTTTAGCTTTCACAGCAATGACAGTTTGAATGAAAGCTCAAAATGCGAAACTGACTTTCTCTCCTGTAGGCTAATATCGATAAAAAAAATGTGGAACTTCCTAAGAACTAACAGTGCATTCTCTATTTTTCAAAAATGCAACAATTAAAAATTGCTGAACAAGCTCATTACGTGCAAGTTTTTAAAAGGAATTTCTAGATCTTTGAAGCAAATTTCCAGACTTTTTTCTGACTTTTGATCTTACCATAAAAAAGCCTGACTTTTCCCAGATTCTCTGGATCTGTAACCACGGTGCTTCAATATTATTGGCACAGTCTTTACCTAAGAAATAAGAAAAGAGAAAGAAAAGAGCATACCTAAAATGCTCAGTATCTCAGTCAATAATGCAACACATTTTGCAGTGGGTCCTTGCAATGTCCGAATTTCGTGGCTCAGCCAGGACATGAAACCATAGCTTGTGGCCATATAAATAGCTGCGTTTTGAATTTTCACTACGGATTTCATCACTTCAAGGATCAACTCCTAAAATAATAAACAGACAAATGAAGCGATGCAAAACAAGTACTTGTAAAATATAGAATGAGAAAGACAAGGCGTTTCTTCAGACAGGCATTTTAACAACAACGCAAACTTAATACAGAGAAATGTTCAAACATGATCCATTATAATTTCTTTCAAAAGGTCTAACAATTTTTCAAATTTTTTTCTAAGATTTTGAGGCTGAAAATATCTTCAAGTAAATTTTATGGAAATAGGTCTGATGATTATCCAGAGATTGTTAAAATTTTAAATGATTATACCAACTTCCTGTTGATGATAATGTACTGTCACAAATGAGCTGAGAGTCCGTGCCATCAAGAAACAGCTACGCTTACTTCAAAAAACGTAGGGAAGCAGACTTACAAATTGTAACACATGAAAAAGGCTCACATCATACTCAAAATTAATTTCACAGCTGATAGATGGTACTTTAATTGGACTACATTTTGCAGTACAGAACTACTATTTCTGGCTAGACCATTAAAAACCTATCTGATAGGGATACTAATGGCACATATGTTGTTTAAAAAATGAGCGAAAAATAATAGTTCCTAATTGCAAAAAGTAATCCAATTATCTAAATGGCCAAATTTCCCTGTCCATGGATGGCGGTTAACTTGAGGCAAATCTTTGAATATGAATCAGATTTTGGGATGTGGGGCAAAATATTAACTTTAGCAATGAGGTCTTAGAAATTGAAGGGTTTTTAATAGTCAAAAAAGGCTAATCACCAATTTTGTTGTGAGACAGAAATGCTAGATCTTAAGGAGTGGATAGTGTTCTAGAATATTTACCCCCGATCATTTATTCCTGTTTAGAATACAAAAAATACTGACTCTCACCAGTATCCTTAAGAAAACAGATGGAAAAATTGCAAACTGATATCATAGCCAGACTACAATCGTAATTGTGTTATCTGCCTTTCTGCCAATAAATTCTTCAGAGACCACAAATTGTCAAGAACAATTGAGGACACCACACCAAGAACAGCCTATAACTGGAAACCCCGTTTTGAGAAAAACGCATTTAAAGTTTTGTTTTTGATGTACTGCGCAGACTTTTCTATGCAGGTACCCTGTTTTGGTGTTTTTGGGTGACCAAACCTTCTATTGAAGAATGCCGGGTAGATTTTGCGATACATTTTGGGTTTATGCTCTAATATATTTCATTTAAAGAAGCGGTTTATAGGCCATTATTACGCCCAACAGTCATGTTGGTGGCAATATGAAGTATAAATCATTTTAATCACGCATGATTAACGCAAAATGAAAGAATATCGATAGTGAGTAAAGAAAGGGGTAACTAGAACCTTATAGGCCCTTAAGTTTATAGGCCCGCTTATAGGTTGTTCTTGCACCCATCGATCCAGAGGCCTGACTCAACTCAGAAAAAAAAGGTTTTTTGACCTCGAGCCGTTACCTAGCTATATTCTATCGCTACCACAGCATAGTCCAGGGTACATAGAATCCGAAAAGCAGATGGGCGTAATAACGACCTATACGTCTATAGGCTGTTCTTGGTGCGGTGTCCTCAATTTTAACTGATTAACTTTAGATAAAATATCAACTACAAAAAGTAAAAATACATCTCTCACCTTTGTTTCATCGTCAGCTAATGATGAAGAGTAAAAAGTGAGTATAATTTTAAAAACATAACTTTGACAAAGTTTCCAATCAGCCTCATTCCTAATGCCATCTCTCATCACTTCCAAAATAAATTTCCTATGTAACCTACAGAGGGGAAAACAGACATACAAGATTAGGACCGATTTATTTTAAAATTTTATCACATTAAATTCTACGTCTTCTACTGCACCTTGTTTCAAATCAAAGGAGTAATTGTATCTGGACAAGAGTTTTGAATTGCACGAGGATACAATATTAATTATGGCTTGCTCTAAAATATGCTTCATGATCTTTCAACTAGACATTTTACTTTAAATATTAAGATTTTTTGACTTACTAGCACATTAATTTTCATGATGCAATGGACCCACCCAACTTCAAAGTAACGGTTAAGCACTGAGGACAAGGGCAGGGCCCTCAAAACCTGTGTTTCAAATCAAGAAAATTAATGTGCGAGTGATTCCAAAAATCTTTAAATTTAAAAGTAATTATTCTTAAACAAATTTTTAAAAAAATGTGTTTCCCTACACATTTTTCATGACGTTGTACTTATTTATACTCATATTCTTTGTGCAGGGTGATTAGTCTTCCTTTCAAAGAGTAAAGAAAAATATGCGCCAGACATTCCAATATTAAGCTGAACAAAAATTATACATGAAAGAGTGTCCTTTAGATTAAGGAAGATTTCAGGGTGATGATTGGGAAAATTGAGGGTTTTTCTTGTAAAAAGAATAAAATTCTAGTTTGAAGTCAAAGGATAGAACATACTTGGTGTCTTTGTCAGCTGAGAAAAATAAGATGAGGAATTCAGGCACTTGATTCAGTCGTAAAGTTGGTTTCACAGTAACAAATGATACTAGAGGTTTGAAATTTGGCCCTGAGGGTTCAATTAACGTAATAGCAGTTCTGGCTAGAAATGTTGTGATAACTGATGAGAGTTGTGGCGTTGTATTAGACTGATTGAGTCCTGCATCAGCTATTCCATTGCGAATAATGTCCAGAAACTGAATCCATAATGCACGGGATTTTTCGCCCCTGAAATTAATAATCACACAAACATGGATCAAAGTTTGTTACTTCCTTGTTACGTTAGCTTCCTTTCTGATTTGTTAAATTACATTCGGTAGTGTTCAGCTCCAATTTGCAAGGAATGATACATACCAGAGTCATAGCCCTTGAATGCTTTAAAGATGGTCTATAACAACGTAGAAAATAATGAAGTATTCCGATCATGCAATGGATCAAACGCGATTTCCGAGGGAGATCTGAAGCCCTCGGCACTCGGACCTTGCCGAATGTACAATCTTCAAAAATGCGTAGCCAACTGTCCAGCATCAAAGCTGAAGCCGGCCGAACTTAGCTTCGGCTCCGAAATGCCGGCCTTGGGACGTCACTCAGAGCAATCCAAAACCCAAAACGCTCGGTACAAAGGACGCACACAATTTCCGGGGAAATTGCATGTAATCCATTGCAATCTTACCTTGCATTTGGTGTCAAAATCTGTCTGATGCAGTACTATGACTTTACTACACACCATTCTTTGAAATTTTTATGATGTTTAAGGTTGCAATGCTGCATGACCTTTACAGTATTTATTCAACATTGATTTTGGTTTTTTGGCAAGAGGGGGCTTTTGAAGCAACTAATTTATTTAACAACTACAAAATTTACTTTTATAGATTCATTTTGAAAAACTCGATAAGTTGAACTCCATTTCAATGAACTAAAAAGAACATGCATGAATGTTGGTGCTTCAGTTTTACTCTATCCGATAATGCCTCGATACCGAACTTTTGCACAATTCTTTCTAACATGCTTTTGGTAAAATGCTTTATGTGCTGTTTATATACTGAAGTCATCTACTAGTTCCTCTTTTAGTATGGATGCTCCAAGTCGACCTTCACAAGACACGTTTTAAAGGATCGATTCTTTTATTTTTGAGACAATTATTCTTCTAAATAAATTTGAGATACAGATAGAGGGTGAATTTTCCACATTACGTTTCCAACAGCTGGTAAAACTTGGACAAAGTGAGATAGGCGGTGTTTCTAAGGACAGGGTCTTCCAATGCCAAGGATGCAAATACGATGGAGATTGCACGACTTCTGGTGATTTGAAACCATCGGACAGGAGATTCTGTGGCCAGGATGCTATTCAGTACAGGAATCAAAAACGCTGGGTCGTAAATTTGGTTGTCTGGCTCAATTAAATCACCCATCTACACATAAAACAAAGTTAGTTGAAAAACACTCTATTTACTTGGTTTCAAATAAGGATAAATCGAAAAAAAAAAAAATGATGATGATTAAAAGAACAATAGCAGGCAATTCTTGGAATTTTCTTTCAGCCCCATTCCTGAATATTTTCTTTTAAATTATTTTTTCATCTTCCCGTTTTCCATTTATTTAATACTAGCTTATGACAAATTAACAGCTTTGTAAAAACTGATCAGTAAATCAAAATCCATATGATATTCCTTGGAATGCACTCAGAGTCATAGAGAAAAAAAGAAGGCTGTTATTGGCAGAAAATTGACGGTTCCCAACTTGTTTACACCTTGACATAAGAGGGCACAATGTGACATCAATATTAAGACTGCAAATTCCAAGTATACGAGGTATGATCCATTAGAAACCGAACTTTGGCCATTGTGGGCCGATGGATGGTCGGATCGACGTTTCCTTGGGTTTATCTGATCGCTGATAAACTGACAAACACGTTTGTTTCTACGTATTTCAATTGTCTTAACTAGTTCGGATTTTACAGCCGTTTGATTCAGGTGTGTTCAAGTGCGTGTTGCGATTTTGAGGAATGCGTGAGCTTTTAGAACAACAATGTGACATTAAATTTTGTTCTAAGTTGGGTAAAACGTTTTCCGAAGCTTTTGCACTGTTAACGAGAGTTTATGGTGATAAGTGTTTAAGTCAGACTCAGTGTTACGAATGGTTTAAGAGATTTAAAAACGGTCAGGAATCGGCGGAAGATGAGGTTCATGGAGTCAAAACCAGGACGTGAACTGACGAGATTCACGTGAATCAAGTTCACGAAAAAGTGCAAATCGACGGCCGTTTAACCATTCGTGAGCTTTCAGAGGAACTGAATATTTCTTTTGGGTCCGTTCAGAGAATTTTAACCCAAAATTTGAACATTCGTAGAGTTTCTACAAAATGGATCCCCAAGTTGTTAACCCAAGCGCAAAAAGAAAAGCGCGTTTCCATCTGCCAACAGCTGCTGGACCGCTCAAATGCCATAAACTCTCGTTAACAGTGCAAAAGTTTCGGAAAACGTTTTACCCAACTTGGGACAAAATCGTAACACGCACTTGAACACACCTGAATCAAACGGCTGTAAAATCCGAACTAGTTAAGACAATTGAAATCCGTAAAAACAAACGTGTTTGTCAGTTTATCAGCGATCAGATAAACCCAAGAAAACGTCGATCCGATCATCCGTTGGCCCACAATGGCCAAAGTTCGGTTTCTAATCGATCATACCTCGTACACACTGAGATCCAGTAGACTGAGATTCCAAGTATACAAAACATACTCTCATGTCTGGTATTGTTTTAGCACAGGCAGGTAAATTCAAAACAGTACTATTTTGATTTCAAAATGAAATTTGATATTAAATTTTCTTAGAAGTAAGTATGACTTATTCCCATGAGCCACACCATTTTTGAGAAAATAAATGGCTGAAAATATTAAACCCACTTTCATCATGGACCCATTTCTAAGACTTCAGAAGTGCAACCACCTGAAAAAGCACTAAGGGCACCACACCTTTTTATCCGCTTAGTGTTTGTTGTATGAAATGAGATTCCCTCTTTTCTTTTAAACTGATAGACAGCAGCAAATAAACATCTTTGAACAAACCTTTTCATCTCTACCAATGGGAAATCTCTTAATAGTTGCATCAATTCGGCTTGCATCTAAAAGATCCAACAGCTTAACTGGCGGTAGCTGTTTGTGCAATGTGACGGCTTTAGAACGGACGGTAAAGTGATTCACTGCAGCCTCTCCCCAAATGTATGGTTGACATTTGTTTAGCTTCACACCACACTCTTCATATGTGCGCAGGATCTAAACATCAAATTATTAGGGATGGAAATGTGGTGAATTAAAAAGGTTGTTCTTAATAGAGAGCTCACTTGAGAATGAGACTTTTTTGTTTTAGATTTTGAGCATATACATCACTTAGATGAAAATTGAAATAAAACAATAACGTTTAAAGCTTTACCAGTTGAGCCTTGAGATCATAAAATAAATTGATGAAAAACTAGGAAATAAGATTAAAAAATACAGAAATATTTTGAGCTTTGTTCCTAGTATTTTCATTCTTTTATTTTGATACAATTTATTCGGTGGTATTACCTCACGTATGTATCTTCATAAATACTTGTGTTTTGTTCAACGATACAAAAATTTGATGATGAAAGATTAATTATTTTCTTATTATTTTTTTTCAAGAAGTCTGAGCAAATGTAAACATCAATGTATGTACTTAAATACAATAACCCTTGAAATTGAACTCTAGAAAAATTAGAAAAGCAAATGAATTTGAATGTTTTTTCGATTATCCATACTTCCGCATTCCATTAAAATTCACCTTGTTTGAGGCCAATCTTGAGCGTACTATTTTTATAATCTAAAACTATAAAGGAGAGACCCCAATTTTGTACCCAATGTTTCAGCGACTTCCCGAAGGCGGATTTCCTTGAAACTTTGTACGCATGTGCGGTTCGTGCTGAAGGGGTGCAATTCGTCGTCCGATTTTCGAAATTTTGATTCTAAGGGTTGAAAACACGCTAAAATAGGGTAACCCGTGTGTTAGAGCGGTGTTGCGCGATCGATCGTCGTCGTCTGGTCGTCGTGGTTTCCCTTCTTTTATTGCGTCTCGATCAGCTGTTTTTTCTGTCTAATTTTGGAAATTCCGAACCGGAGCAGTGTTGCCGAAATCACGAAATCTGTAATTTCACGAAATTGTTCGTTCTCGGTCACCTGATGACTCGGCTGCCCGAGGCGTTCGTCGTCATGGATATTCGTCGTTTATGAAGAATTCCGATTTTTTCGAACAGTGCGCGTCGTCTTTTGAATTTTGTTAATATTCGTCGTGTATGAAGAATCTCGAATTTTTAGTAAAGTGCGCGTATTCGTTTTAATATTGAGAATGGATCGGAGTCGAAAACGTGGGCGTCCGGCGAAGCGTGGCAATGTTTCTCGCAATTTATTCGCGTGACGCAAAGTGCGGCATGATGGCTATCTCAGTGAGATAGATAATGTACGACGTAGGGGTGAACAAGGAAATAACCTCAATTCATTTCGGCAGAACACTGATAATATTATCGAAAATGATTATCCGGAAAATAATTTCGGACTTTTAAATGTGAAGTGCCAGTATTGTGATGGAAAAATTATTGAAATTTTAGTTTTCCATCGAGAAGCTGGTCATCATAAAACTTAAATTCTCAATGATTTTTCGTATTCGATAGCAGAAAATTTGGTTCAAAATTTAAAGTCGTAAATTTGGATTGTTTCTCATGGAAGAGATGATTTAAGAACGGAAATTTTTAAACACCGCAACGGAGATACGTGGTTTCGCACTTCAGTCGTGCGATACGGACATCCATCAAGTTTAAAAAA